ATTTTCCGGGACAATAACATTACGAAGAGAGCAAAGCAGATGATCCCTGAACGCGTTCACTTCCAGTGTGCAAAGGAAGCCTTTTTCTAAGTAAAGTGGTTTCGGCAATGGATAAAATGCTTGCTGCCAACAACTTTTGCTCTCTGGGCTTGTATTTAAAATTGGCGCACCGGGAAATAGCTCGCAGCTGAAAAAAATATGCATTTGATTTTTATCCGTTTTTACTTATATGCAAATGCAAAAAGCACATAAATTTGCTTACGGCGCATATCTCATCAATTCTTAACAGCAAACGTTAGGTGGACGGAACTGCGTAAAACGCATGATCGCATCGGCTATGGTGCTGCGCGCCGCTATTTATTTTCTTCTTGCTTCTTTTTCAACTTCTAAATAATGTCCAACGATGCCAGCCGGTTTTTCGGGAGTCGCTCAGCAATGCGAAATCCGGTCCAAAAACAAAATTACTATCTTCAATTTTCTGCACTGCGTATGCTAGTAATATCTTTCGTCGAAGATACACATTCGCACAAAGGGCCTGCTCAAGCAATCTTGCACTTCTTCCAACTCTATTGCATTTTGGGTATGAGGACAGACTGAATAACGCATATGGAATTACAAACAACTAACCGAAACCAGGCCATGATAGAATGTGCAGTACCACTGCAAGTGATGGGCGCCGTATGAAGATCCACCACAACATGCTCGTTGAGTTTTTCCAATTGTGAACGAGCCGCAAATGAAATGTTAAAAATTTCGACTACTTCACTCAGAATTTTGTAACCACCGCGAATTTCATTCGCCGCACAACACCAGTACGGCTCCAGATCCATCGATATATCTTTGGCATCTGGATGAAAAAGTAGTCAAAAAATCCTCATAATATCATAGAAATTTTAAATTCCATTGAGCTTATAAATTTTTAGTACTATATAAATTTTAAATTCCGTGAATAAAAGCTTTAGGGCGGGAAATAAAACCAGTATGCTTTATAAAAAAAAAGGTACGGAATTCGGAGTAATGATAGGCACGAAGCCTCAAAAAAACTGCTTATCTATCCGGCTAAAACAGTTGCCGAGCTACAACATCTGGATTCGTTGCCCACTTCGCACGCTCGTTATCACTTTAAAAAACAGATTTCCCCCCTCCCGGCTATCGCTCGCTGGTGCATGACAACTGCCAATCCCCTGATGTCAGTGATGAAGTGTAAACCAAAAAATATACTGTATGGTGATAAGACGGAATCCGAAACGAAGCGCTGCCCACCAAAAATTGCAATATTTTCATCTGTTACAGCAGGACACTCGATAATGCACCCATAAACAGTGGCCTAAAAAAATCGCAGTTTTTGCTAAATACAACGCAATGCTTCGTTTATCTCTGAGCAACTTCATTTCCCGGCCGGAATACAGTCTCTGTGCCTCTTAAATCGATCGGTGAGTAAGGAAGATTTTAATGACGACAATATTTAATGAAGATGTTAATGATGATATATTAGGAAGATGTTAATGATGATAAGGAAGACGTTAATGATGGTACGTAATGAAGATGTTAATGATGATATATGAGGGAGATGTTAATGATGATCTGTAATAACGATGTCAGTGATGATATATAAAATAAAGGTGTCAATGATTATGACCCAATTATTCATTTTACTTTTTCCTTTTCACTGATTTAGACCTACTGATTCAATTTTTTGGCAAATTAGTTCTGGGTGCAAGTGTAGCAGGGCGTAAGTCATTCTCAGACTACTTCACACTAGCGAAAATAAGCGATTCCTGACGATGAAACTTTATCAGTTAATAGGAGCGTCTTTTCTTCTGGAAATAAAATGCCGGACGGTTCGAGGGCTGAGTAGGGAAGTATGGTAGCTCGATATGTTAGGAATAGCTCAGAGGTGAGAAGCTGGAGTGTTGTAAGGGAAAATGAGTACTGAAAAAATACACTGAATCATTGCAGTTATACTTAAACTGCCAAAATTAGGCTCCAAAGTACTAAAATCCAATCGATCCTAAGCTGCATGATACCAAATCGCTTGGAATGTTTCATGCATTCATTGGACAGACAACATTTTAACATATATTTGAGGTCAAATAACGAATGGACAACATGTGCAGATCCATTTTTAGCGCTTCATATATTCCATCCGCTCGCATTGTTCTGCTTGTGTTTACAGCTAAGGGATGAAACACAGACTGTCTGTTCCACATGGCTGCCTTTACGGGTGCAATAATGCTCTATTATCTCTGCAAACCTGATCATGGCTATGCACAGAGCTTTCCGGAGAGAAGGGGGAAAAACCATATCGAAACTGGTTTACTTTTTGCGGTATAATGATTGGAGAGAATGCAATTTGTCGCTTCAGCGCATCGTACAGGCTGCAAGCAATACCTTCACCCAACAGACCACAGTCCATCGTTTCCGTGATTAATACATCAATCTAAATTCACTTTTATACACTGACTACACAAAACAAAACTAAATTTTCGAATATCAAACTGTGGAAAATTGAGCTAATTATGCGTTTTCTACAGAAGAAGAATTTGTTTTAAAACGGAGTAAGGGACGAAAGTGCTGTTCAACAACGGGGGTAGAAAGATATATAGAGCGCCCCTTGTTCCTTGTCAAAAGGCTGGCAGATAAAAATTACCCGAAAGGACGTTTTTTTTAAGACTCGTAACTTTCACATTTCTTCAAACTGATTTGTCTGGAGACACACACGCACACATACACGCACACACATACACACACGTACGCACATACACACACTCACACATGTAAAAACACATACGCACACCCTATACACACTCATGTAAAGACAAAACACATACATGCATGCATACCTACAAAGGAGCTTTTCTTATAGCAATAATATTATTTTGCAAAAATCCACACACGAAAAAAAAACGCGGAAAAAGGGGAAATAACCGGAAATAAGCAGCAATGCGCTCAAGAATTGGAATGAACATGCCATCTTCTTGCACAGTTCCCTTCATAAAGAAGATTTATGTGCAAGCGCTAAACCCCACTTAACAAAGTCATATCTCGAGATCCTGTGAGCCTAGGAGACCGGTGTTTGGGCCCTGAATTATTCCAAAAAGTACAGAAATCATAGTTTCATCTTTCTAGCTTTTCTGGT